TAAATATAAAACAAACACCTTTCTCTATTCCAGCACACTTTTAATGCTTTGAATAACGTTTTCGATCGTTTTAATCGATCATCCTCAGTTCAAAATTCGAACTCTACAACGAACAAAGTATTCGAAAAATACAAAAAAATTTTTTTACATCGCTAATTTACGATTTAACGCTAATGCGCATGCGCATATTTATAAAACGTATAAGTTTAAATCTAAGTAATTAAAAATAACAATATTCTATATCAATTAATATTATGACAACGCCGCGTATGTGGTTGCTATATTTAATCTATGCCATCATAAAAGGACTTCCATGCTGTTCATAAACTTTCGGCGTCTCTGTAGTTGATGCACTGCGCGGTCGTATTGCCTTGTATATTTCAGTAAGAATTTATTTATTTATATATTTATGGCGACGCCGGCCAAAATATACAGGAAAGTAGTTCTCAAACTATGCAAAGCAAGAACAAAGTTCGAATTCCTTAATCAATGCCGTCTGAATGGGGTTTTCCCGATGTCGATTCATCGTATCAGGCTCCCGATAGGTTGTGACAGCTTATTGCCCAAGTTAAAGGTTCTTTGCCTCAGTAAGGCCATCAGAAGTACAAGACGGAAATATTATTCGTTGGTAAACACTCTTATCAAAATAGAAGATGAGTTTTATAATGAGGACCGAACACTGTTAAAGGAAGTCAATACCAGAGTTCTCACATTAGCTGATTCGGTAGAAAGGAATTTAAGGCGTAAATATATTAAAAAGATTAAATGGCTATTCAAATGCCAAAATGTTAGACCACGGAGAAGAAAAACATTGGCGATAACCGCTTGGGACAACATCTCACCGCCGCAATGCTTGATTGATGCTTTAGAATACGGCCCATTTTTCGCTCCTACTCCACCATTGACTCCTGAGAACATTATTCCTAATATTGAGTTGCTCATAAAGGGGATGAATATCACTAAACAGGATTACATCAGATGGAAGACAAGGTTCTGGGCAGAAAGTGAGAAGCAAGGTAACAAAGAAGAAAGGCGGTTCAACAAAAGCATAAAAGAAGCAAGAGATTGGCTACACATGAATGATATTGTGCTCATAAAGGCAGATAAATCCAAGGGTATAGTGCTCCTCAAACGAGAAACTTATAATCAAAAAATAAATGAACACATCAACAACACAGAATGTCTTATTGCTCCTGGTAACTATTTAGAAACGTTACAGCAAAGGATTAGGAAATTCATGTGTACTCCGTTAGCGAATTGTCTGAATATGGAAAGAGGGATCATTCGAGCACCAAGGGCTCCAAGAATCTTTGCGTTTGGGAAAACACACAAACCAGGATCACAGTTACGCCCAGTGGTGGAAAAGTGCAATGCACCTACTTTCGGTATAGAAAAACGACTGGTTAAATTTATACGGGATAAAATCAAGGAGTCACCGTATTCAATAAAAAACTCGCTACAATTGGTGCAGAAACTAGAAAATATTACACTTAAGGATGAAGAGTTAATGACCGTCTTAAATTACAAGGCCTTATATCCATCGATTAAATTACCGCCTTGCTTTTGTGCCTTGAGAGATTTTCTATTTGCTAACATCAAAAATGCTATTAAATACCATAAGCACATTTTGGAATTATCTGATTTGATTTGCCATACATCGTTCTTCGAATTTGAAGGAAAAACATATTTGCAAGGACGGGGTGTACCAATGGGTAGCCCAATGTCAGCCGTTCTTTGTGAGTTGGTGCTAAGAAAGCTAGAAAGTGATATTTTACCCTATTTCCAGAATGATATAATAATATATGCGAGGTATGTAGATGATATCTTCGTTTTGTGGAAAAATAATAGAAATACACACCGTTTTATAAGCTTAATCAACAGTAACCCGTATGGTCTAACATTAGAACTAGACCAAGAAAGTGAAAATATTGTTAATTTCTTAGATTTAACAATTACATGCAAAGAAGGTGAGATCAAAACGAATATATACCGTAAGCCAGTTTATCAACCAATCATCATACCTAAGAATTCCTCAGATCCAGAACATATCAAATTGGCAGCATTTCGTTCATGGATTACAAGGGCTTACACACATTGTACCAGCATATATGACACTCATAAGGAATTGGAGTATATACGGAGCATAGCTGAGCAACAGGGATACGGAAGAAAGGCAATCGATGCACTGATAGCAAGGATGCAAAAACGGAACCGGCAACAAAGAGCAACTGAACTAAGGGAAAGAATTGTAATTAATTACCATCCGTCTCTAAATAAAATTATTAAGAAAGTTGCCAGAAATAGAAATGTAAAAATAATTTATAGACGTAATCCTACAGTATATAAGCTCCTAAGAAATGATAAGAAAAGATATGAACGTAATAACATGACAGGAGTGTACTCGATACCTATGAAGGACCATAGATTTAACTCCGACCTAGTATATATAGGAGCAACTATGCGGAACCTAAAGAAAAGGATTGATGAGCACAA